GCACTTTCCTCAGCTTGTGACACTCCGTGCCTAGCTCTCTTGGGCTAGTTCTTTCTCGTTCTTCAAATCTCTCCTCACAAGACCCCTTCTTAGGACTTCCATGGCTACCTATCTTCCCACAATTTACTCTCTGTTATATTTTGCAAGTTATTTTCTAGAGCAGTTATCATGATCCAACTGTTCTTATGTGTTTGTTCATTTATACCTTTCTCCTCCAGCTACATTGTAAGCATCTATAGCAGAGGTCGACAATGTTTTTTTCTGTAAAATGGCAGATAGTAAATATTTTAGACTTTGTAGGACACAGGGCCTCTATTGCATGTAATCTATGATTGTAACATGAACGCCGCTACAGATAATACATAAATCAATGGGTGTGGCTGTGTTTCAATATAACTTTATTCACAAACAGAGGCTTTTGGCTACATTTGGCTCACAGTCCATGGATTGCCAATTCCCTCTAGGACCATTAATCTGCGTGCATTGTGCCCTTCCACATTCTCAGCGCTTAGTGCAAAGCAGATGCTGCACATATTCACAAGGTTTTATCCTAACCAAAACCCTGGAAAGTGGATATTGTTATTTTCATTTATAGATGAGCAAAATAAAGCTCAGTGAGGTTTACTAATCTACCCATACCCACAGAACTATTGTATTTGCCTCCTAGGGCTGCTGCAACAAAGTACCATGAACGACACCAACTACTCAGAACAACACAAATTTATTTTCTCAAAGTGTGTAACACTTTGACACCAAAGTAAAGGTGTTAGCAGGGCCATGCTTTTTCTGAAGTCTCTAGAGGCGAATCCTTCTTTCTCTCTTCCAACTTCTGGTGGTTCCTGGGGTTCCTTGGTTCAGGGCAGCACAGCTCCACTGTCCGCCTCTGATGTCACATGGCCTTCTTCTCTACGCGTCCCTCTGCATCTCCAAGTGGCATTCTTCCGGCAGGTCTGGGTATAATCTCATTTTACCTGTGAACTAATTTTAGTATAAACTAATTTTAGTATAAACTAATTTTACCTGTGAAGGCCCATTTCTAAATAAGGTCACATTCTGAGGTTCTGAGTGGACATGAATTTTGCGGGGAGACAGGATTAAGCCAACTACAACTTTCAAATGGTAGAGTATGAACTTAACTCCATTTTGATGATTTTCCACTGAAGTTACAATCTCAGCTATTAACAGTTAATAGTGGTGTCCAATTTTAGAGTTATTCTCAGAAATGATGATTTGATACTATCAGTGGAAAAGATAGCTATGAAATTTGCCTTAAAGGAGTTTGTTTAAGTCATCATTTCTAACTAGTACCCTGAACATAATGTTAGTGTTGACCAAAAGGGCACCTGATGCATATCTTATGAACAGAGATTTAAGACATTTTTCTATAGTTATCATTGGTTGAGCAAAGAGAATCACATTGGAAGTTTCATGGTCTCTCTAGTTAACATCTTTGAATACCAGTTTTTTAAGCCAGGACTTTTTCCAAAGCTTGTCTAAAGCATGTTTTCCCTTTTAGGGAAGAAACACTATAATATGTTTCTATTATAGCCCAAACACATTTGGAAAATGCCAGGCCAAACCAAGTAACACAGATTTCTTTACTGAAGAAAATAATTGCTTCTTAACACTTTTTATTTGTTAAGGTGCCTTGTGAATTTCTAGAAGGGAGGTATTGTATATATTTTTCTAGGTTCATTGAACTTTTTCTGTAGAGTCTATTTAGGAACTAATCATGTATGCTACACACTTTGGTGCACCAACTTTGGGTGTTTGCTTGCTTATCAAAGTTCAGATAAATTCTGCTTTTCTGGAAGTTAATTCGTATAAAGTTTATATATCTCTTGGATTTTAGAAATTGGTTTTGAACCCCTCTATTTCCAACCAAAGAAGAGATTCCCAACCAAAGGGGAGAGACCTTGATGGGTTACACCATGGCAACTACTAATTTATTGGTCAATTCATTCACTCATTTTTTTCATTTCACACATTTCATATATACTTGTGGTGTTCAAGGACGTATCTATGAACATAAAAATGATCAAGATCAGACTTCTTTTTATTAAGTCATCCAGATAATACACATGAATCACCATTTTCCAAAGTAATTTTAATAAATGGAAACCACTGGCCTGAATTGTGCCCCTCACCCCCAATCCCAGGTATCTTAGAATGTGACTGTATTTGGAGATAAGGCCTTTAAAGAGGTAATTAAAGTTAAATGAGGTAATATGGGTGGGGCCCTCATCCAATAGAAATACTGTCTGTACAACTAGGAGCAGGGATGCCAGGGAGGGCATGCCCAGAGAAAAGGCCACGTTGCGACATAGAAACAAGGTGACCATCTACAAGCCAAGGAGAGAGGCCTCAGGGAAAAATCAAACCTGCCAACATCTTGATTCTTGGATTCCTAGTCTCCAGAACTGTGAGAAAATAAATTTCTGTTGTTTAAGCCACTCAGTCTGTGGAATTTTGTTACAGCAGCCTGAGCAAATAAGAACACCATTGTTAATTGCTCATTAGGCCTTTGCCTTTAAGAGATTTATTCAGCTTGTTCTAATGTTCATTGAGGCTTTATTCCCTTATTTGCATTTAAAGGAATTCCAGGAGGACCAGCTTGATTGTAAACCTCTTGAAGACAAGGCCTTTGTCTGTTGCATCTCCACACGACTAGCGGACTCAGGCATGTAGTAGAATCAGTGTGTCCTCTACATCTCTGCTCCCCTCCATACATGAATAACCGAGAGATGGCCTAATACATTTTTTGGAAAGAGCAAGAAATAAGAAAAAGAGAACTTCAAAGTATTACACACATAGGTAGATGCTTCAAATATGTCTTATTAATATTTCTTTTCTATTTTGAGCTAAATATCTTTACCCCATTTTTCAGATGAGAAAACAGACATTCAGAAAGGACTAGTGATTTCATCAAAATCATAAAATCACTGGTAGGGCCAGAATTCAAACAATTCCTCCCACCTCTTTGAATATATGCTGAAGGGAACAAGTACAATTTTTAAAAAATGAAGAAGAGGTGCTGATTAAACTAATTTCATAAATTACTTAATTAGAGGAAAGAAAAACTGTCAGGCAGCAGCACTTATGAAAAAGAACTAGATATTTTGGTGGCCTATGGGCTTATTTCAGTGATATCCTCATCACTGACACGGCTACCAAAAAGTTAGGCCAATGTTAAATTGTGCAACAAATAATGATTGGAAAGCACTAGTAACTGCCTGCCATTGTTTGTGGTTCTTTCCATGTATTACTGATGCTGCTGCTCTGGAAGGCTAGTGAAAACCTGCAAAGGCTGGTGACTACAGTGACTGGCTTTAAAGTCATACTACAGGATGACTGGTGGGGTAAACTGGGAAGGTTTACTCTGGAGGAAATTGAAGGTGACATGATAGACAACTCAATTAGTTGAAAGATTTTCAGGTAGAAGAGGGACTTAGACATAGGAATAGATTTAAGTGGTTAGAAACCTTCCAGTCTTGAAAGTATTCAAACAGGTGGATACCATGTAGAGGCAACACCTGTATCAATGGGAGATCACATGGTTACAACCTTAAATTCCCTAAACTGGAAGATTTTGGGATTTTTTTTTGATGCATAAATATCATCTCCTTTTTCTTCATGAACAAAATTAGGATTGGAGGGGAAAATGTTAGTGCTAGATTCTTCCTGGAACTACAAAATAAATTCTCTAGGAGGGAAGCATATCAATTCTCTTATCACCATTGATAAAATAAAATTGTCATTCAATTTGAACCCTTCTCTATATTGCTTCTTTTATAGTCATGTTAACAACATTTGGTCTCCAGGTCTCAAAGCTGATAACATTATTTTTTTTTTAAATGATTGTCTTTATTTTCAAGAGAAGCTCATTTTTTATGCCTATCATTGGGCCAGATATTGAACAGAAGCTTCTTACAATATGGTATGTTGGGTGTTTTTTTCTTATCTGGGATCAGTATTTCCTGAAGAGTACCCACAGAAGCTAAGAAGTGAGTACATAATGATAGTGAGCATCATTAGAAAAATTGGAGTACATAATTCATTTGCAAGCACAGGAGAAGTGCGGTATGTGATGTGATAGGGCTACACACAGCCCAGAATGAGAGATTAAAGAGTTGCCGTGTTGTGGGGCATCTTGAGGAGAAATCAGGATAAATTGCAGAACAGTCCAACCGAGGATGGGTCAAGAGAGATGCTGCATAGAATGCACACAGAAAACTCAGGCTGTTGGAGGTGTGTGTGTGTGTGTGTGTGTGTGTGTGTGTGTGTGTCAAAATTATTTAAAAAATTACCTTGTTGTGGCTAGAGCTACTTGACTAGTAACGAGAAAGATATGGTCTCAGAGGTGAAAAATGCATCCAAAGGTGTTCCATCCTGCTGTTTAGAACACTGTGGGTACTCAAATAATACGAATGCTCCACTATGAAGATGGTATCGAGGATGATGATGATTAAGGCACCCCATGGCAAAACAGGGATGGGGAGCATGATACAGAACAGGAACCAGGAAAGGAGGATGACTCACGGGTGAGGGGTACCTGGGGATAGAGCGATGTGGGGTGCACGTTGGCGAGAGTGGGGGAGCGGCTGGGGCACGCGTGGCTCGGGCCAGGGGAGTGGGCGGGTGGGTGCCCGTGGGCGGAGCGGCTCCGGGACTGAGTGGCTGGCAGCTGTGTCTGCGAGAGCAGCAGCATCACCCGGGAGCGAAGCCTCCGAGACTCCGCCTAACTGACACCCAAACTCTCCCTCTCCCTCCCGCAGCCCCAAACAGGAGGCAGCCCTGCTTGGGAGCTGCCTCGCCGGCCACCGCCGCCCCAGCCCCGGCCCCGCCCCCGCCCGGCGAGCCCAGCCCGCGACGCGTGGATCGGCAGAGCCTAGCGCGAGCCCTCGCCCCCTCGCCGCGCCCGCCGCGCCTTTGCCTTGCCCGCCCCCGCCGGCCGAGGCTGGGCTGCGGGAGGCGGCAGGGCAGCCCCGAGCCTTGCTAGGGCGACCAAAACAAAGGCAGCATCCGGGGCAGGGTGGATGCAAACAACCATGAAAGACTGGGTTCGCTGTTTCCCCGGCTCTGCTGCTGCCGCCGTGGCCGGGAGGGCTCCGCTGTGAGGGGAAGCAGGGGCGCAGCTGCTGCTGGGTGTGAATCCGAAAGGTGAGAGCCCAAGAGCCTGAGGAAGGGGCTGGCAGGCCATGAAAATGTCCTCGGCCGTGGGGCCCCGCGGTCCTCGCCCACCCACGGTGCCTCCCCCCATGCAAGAGCTGCCCGACCTGAGCCACCTGACCGAGGAGGAGAGGAACATTATCATGGCAGTGATGGACCGGCAGAAGGAAGAGGAGGAAAAAGAAGAAGCCATGCTCAAGTAAGCCACCCCCCGCCGCGCCATCCGAGCCTCCGTGCCTCCATCGGTCCATTCACCACTCACTCACCCAATCCTCTCGGCCGTGTGGGGGAGGGGGCGGGCGAGGGTGCTGGGTGCGGACTGAGGCGCCCGCCTTGGGGCCAGGGGCGCTGGGCATGGGCAGGGCAGAGGTTGGGGGGATAGGGGGAAGGAGAGGATGCCACCGAGTCGAGAGTCCAGGAGCCAGGAGAGGATGACTTGAGACTAGGGTTCATAGAAGGGTTGGGTGGACAGAGACCACCCTGAGGCTGGGATGCGCAGAGGCTGAGAAGAGCTGATCCCACCCATGTGGATGGGCCCTGGGCGAGGAGCAGGTTAGGGGCAGGGGATCAGTGGAAGGAAGGGGAGGTGGGAAGAAGAGGTGCTGAGAATAGCGTCTCTTTTCTTCTTGGAGTTGTTTAGCAGGGTTACCCCAGTGAAGGCTGTCAGTATTTTCGTAAGAAAAATGCTTATTTTTAGTGTTCATTTTGGTACTCATTCATCACACAGATCAAGGTTGGGTCTTTTTTGGGGGACAGTTGCCATCTTGGGTACCCTGTCTCTCAGCTTTTATTCACCGTCTTTTACACAAACTACCTATGTGAAGACACCATTTCTTACCCATATGTAATGCCTTTGGCAATGGAAAGTTTTTAATAATGGGAGAAGCTGATGGGAACTCTAGTCAGAGTAAAATAGAGAGTCCTCTTTCCCGGTTTCCAAGAGACTTTTGGGGCCTGCACAGTTCCTGATGTAAGTGGGACAATAGGGGACTGGACATTTGCTCATATCTCCCCCTTTAAAAAGCCCATCAACCCTTTAAGGGATTCCTGTCCAGTGCCCCATTTTCCTGTGTCTGGGGAGGGGAAAGGGCCCCTTGCTGATGATGCAGGCATTTGTGACACTGTGCTGCTACAAGGTACTGGCATCCAGAGTTGGTTGTCCTTCCTCCTTAGCATTGCACCTAGAGTGGAACCGAAGGAGACTTCAACATCGCCTTCCCTTGGGAGGCCTTCCTGTGTTCAGGAAAGTTTTCAACTCAGGGGCGAGGGAATTTAAAGACCCTGAGGAACCAAAGGGAACCTGTTGCATCTTGTTTAGCTGATAGCAAAGAAGAGGTAGGAAGGAACAGGGGTGACAACCAGGCACAGAGCACACCCAGCATGGCCTCTCCCCCAACCCCTAGGATTGCCTCCTGAAGAGAAGATGCTGCCACTGAAGGTTTCCTCCGCTTCCCCTCAGTGTAGCAGTGCCTCCCAGGACAGAAGGGAGGGAGACTGTACTCACAGACTGCTGTGTCCCCACCAGTGTAACTGCTACACAGACGGGAGAGGAGACTATTGAGGTAGGGCTGTGGGTGTCAGGTCACAGCAAAAGGGTAGAAAATCCAGTCATTACTGTCCTTTCCTTGTAGACTCAGAAAAAGACCATTAACTTGGAAGGCCAGAGCTGGCCTTGTTCTATTAAGAGCAGCAGGTTTCTGAATTCCCTGCTCCTTCTCATCCAAAAAAGCGAATACTTTAAGCCTGCCGGCTTGAGGGAGGCAGAACCCTCGTTAATCTGCTGCCTGTCCCTAGTGGAACAATGACGTCCCTGGTGCTGCAGGCTTCCCCCCTTCTGAGATTGGAAGTAATGGATGGTGTCTGATGGTGCTGCTGTCTGTCTGTCTGGTTGTCAGTCCGTCTGTCCTCGGGGGTTGCAGCCCTGGCCACTTGTCCTGGGTACCTTTTCTGCCAGTCAGGATTTACAGGTTTGCTACTGTTCGTTTTGGTGTTTGCTGCAAACAGCAGGTGGATGGAGGCCTCCAGCAGCCAGTGAAAACCACAGGCTGCTGCTTGACAGGGTCTGAATAGGAAGGGGAAGGCACAGTGCAAGTAGTGGCCATCACGCTCTGTCATTGGCTGTTCCAGGGATGGAGGAGAGTGAGAGATTTTAAGTGGGAGAGGGGGAGTTTTAAGATAGAATCTCAAACCTGCTAACTGCCTAAGGACAGCAATGATAAGATCGTATGAGCTTTTATAGACGAATAAAAATCAGGAGCACTGTCCAACTGCTCTCATCTTTCCCGCTGCTGTTCCTATGACTGCTACCCACTGGCTTGCAAATATTGTTCCTTTATAGCAAGGATTCACAGAATATTGCAGTATGTGCTGCTGTTATACAACAGCCCTCTATAATCCCTAACCTCTACATTAACTTTATCAATCAGCCTCTGCTGCTAATGTCTTGGCCTTTTGTGCAGTGGGACATCAGTGAGTGTTTTGGAATACCAGTTTGCTGCCATGTAAGCATGTCAAATTGGCTGTAATTAGTGGAACAGTGCTGTTTTTTCTAGAGTGCATTTTGTGTCTTAAAAACGGGATCATAGGGGCTATCCAGATGACACATACTATATATGGAAACTTAATGACACAAAGTCAAAGGTGTTGGCCTTTACTAAACTTTGCATAAAAATAGATTGGAAAATGGGATGCTTTCCACAGGGTCCTGAAATATTTGTTAAATCAGAGATAAGTTTTTGTGGTAATGCTTAGTTTCCCCTGTTGCACATCTGAGAAATTCACAACACATCATGCAAAGCTAAAGTTCTGGTAACCGAGCAGTTAGACCTAAAATTCATGTTTGTCATCACTGATGAGCCATCGCCTTGCGCTGCCTACTGTGCACGCTCTCTTTTTTCACAATGCATAAAAACAGGAACTAATACAGAGAAGATAGAACAGTCCTGGGTAAATATGCCAAAGAAACATTATAAAATATCAATTAAAATATAGTCATATAGTTTTATCAGCCTTGACTGTAAATTACTACTTGGTCTTGGTAATATCTTTAAATGTGTGTAAATGGAAGAGGATTTCACCTCAAGTTTTCAGGAAATTTTTATTTGAATTGTAAGTACTTTGTTAGCAAAGTACATTGATTTTAAATACCATTGGTATATTACAAGAAATAGTTGACTCTTGGAAATAATTTTTAATGGTTGATATAATTATTTAAAAAGAAGAGGTCTTTTCTTAATCTTAGTGGAGTTTTAGGGTGTGTGTGTGTGTGTTCTAGAGACTTTTTGAAACCTAACTTCCTCAATGAATACTCCTTTAAGTAACTCTCACCAGATACCATGAGCCAATATATTACATGAGTTGAAAACTGCATTATCTGGGACCTAAATCAGATAAGATCTCATTAGATCTAAAATCTTATTCCTTTTTTATAAAAGCTTCATAGAGAAAGGAGCTATAGAATAGAATAGTAGAGAAGAGAAAAAATAGAAATAGAGTTAAAGGGATGGCTTGAGAATAGAGATTGAAAACCATATTGGAATATTTAATAAAACTACTAACATTTATTAAGCATTTACCTCATTCTGGCCATTATTATAAGTGGTTATTGACTTATATGCCAAATAGTTGAACTATGCTCAAGTTCAATACATGTATATTTGAATTCTCACAACAGCCTGTGCAGAAGGTAAGTTAGGTCATATTATCCTCAAATCCTCATGTTACACTCAGAGAGTTCCAGTGGTACCCTCAGCTGACTCATGTAACATGGCCCAATCAGCATGCAAAACCAGACCTTTCGTTCTTTTTCTAAAAAATAACTTAAAAATGTTTTAATTACAGTTGATGTACAATTTGAACCTTTTATTCTAAGTCTAAATATTTTCCCACATACTATACTACCTTACCAGGAAGAAGCTTGTAGTTCATTTACCTTTTCCTTAAATTAGCTTCTTCTCTTTCCTTAGTATCAGAGTGTGGTTTGGCAAAAGGGTAGGCTGGTTAGAAGGTAAGCTGCAGATTCTCAGAGGGCCTGCAGATTCACCCACACTCTGTTTAATAGTTTTGCTGTGGATTGAGGGCAGGGGAATTATCTGCAGCTCAAAGACAATAAAAAGCATTATGTTATGGTGGAAAGAACATTAAACTTAGATCCAGGCATTTTAGGGTTCTAGATCTAGTCCTGCCACTTACTCTGTAGATATGGGCAGGAATATTAAATTGGGATTCCATGAGGTTCCATTTTTCTCATGAATCCTGCAATTTATGGTGTGAATTGATTTACAAAGACTTTGGACTATTGACTTCGGACTTCTCTCTTAATGGGAAGCCAAATGCTAACTTTTCAAACATCTGTAATATCCACCTCCTTTGTGGGAGGAAAAAGAAAGTAGAAGGAGTAAAACTCTTATAACTTCAGCTTTTCTTTCTCCATTTTCTCCTTCCAAGCAATTATAATATTGTGGCCTGAAATGTATCCATAAGGCTCAATATGAGAGACCCCAATTAGCAACTGGGAAGAGAAGGAAATGTAGACCGAGACAGCTGGGCAGGGGTAAGGATAGAGTTCCCATATATGAAGATATCATGCTTTCATTGGGGTTCGCAAAGATTTTCATATTGTACACTCCAAAATATTCTGTCGTTGCTGAAGCAAGGTGGGTAAGTAGGAAAAGAAAAAGGCAACAGTAGTGAGAGAAAGTGACCAAACAATGAACAGAGGTCTGCTAGTTCCGAGGAGATGTCGTGTTAAGTAGAAAAACCTGGGGGTGAGAAAACTTACAACGTTGTACTCAGAGCCCAGTCTCCTTCACATCATTAATGGACAGGGTTAAATTTAGGGAAGGTTAACTTTCAACTCTACTGGCGTTTTCCACTTTCCACAAAAACCTATCTTAGTAAATGCATGTGCTCAGTATTGAGTTCTCAGATCCTCATGGAGAAAACATAGGAAAGGGCAGCCTGAAAAATGAGAGAAGGGAGGGGTTGAGGGGAATGGAGGGTAAGAGGCATAACCATTAGTTCACATTTTTTGCCAGCCTGCCTTCACTTTCTTTCAACTTGTGTGCGTTCCTTCTTAACTGAAACTGAGGGGGCGTCGTTGTTTAAGTAAATAGATTACAAATTGGAGGTAGAATATGGAAACCTGTGTGGGTTATATGCGCTGCTGCTGACTTGGATAGAACCACTACATCTTGGGAG